ATTTTCATAAACCATATCACAAAGGCACCCTTTTCAATATATGAATTAAAATTTTATTGTGTATTGCACTCGCCGCTGAACTGAAAAATTTCATTACAATTCAGGGAGTCAATTCAGAACCTTACAATAACTCAGTTGTCGACCGATTCGATTTGATATCGTACGATTTCTATTCATTTTTATTCACAACACCCGAATCAAACTGTCGTATTCGAAACCGAACCGAAATGACGTCACACTCGTACAATTACTCGAGCTTCTCGACCGGCAAAGGCTACAAACGTTATTGAGAACGCAGTTATCGAATGAAAGTTACTGAACGTCCTATTGTTTACAAAACAAGAATGTAATATGGAAATCTCTTCTTATTTTAAATAGTCTGGATTTCGTTCAATTTTGTTAATTTATTTCCTATATACCTATATTTTAGGCCATTAAAGTCGTAAATGTATATAAAAGGATTTTCATTTTTCTTATAATGTATTTCACCGAGTAACTTCGGAAACGCTGTTGGATAACGATATCGCATCCGAATCCGAATCGAAGAGTTCTGAATCTGGGTCCTGTACGCTGAACTATAATGAGTTTCAAAAAACGAGTATGTGATCGTATGGTTATAAACTCGATCTCCCAGTTACTGTGTTCGTAAACAGAATAACCTAAACACGGTATTCGATTTTAAGAACCATCATTATGCAACGATTGCATAAAATACTGTTATATTATCAATCTGCAATAAATCTCTTTTATATTACTAAAAGAGGTAGAGATCGTCAGGTTGAGCGTGTAGTAGTGTCTAATATTTGGTATTTACGAATTAGAATTTTCTATTTGTGGTAGATACCGACGTCAAAAAATCAATTGTATTTTTTTGTGTAGGTTACAGGAGTGAACTGATTTCCATGATCATTATTTTTTTTGTTGGGAAGGAGTTAAGTACCTCAGTAGTGATCCTATTTAAATTTGATGAAAATATTCCACCTCTAACGATGCCAAACTAGGGGATAATATGGTTAACCGATTTCAATAAAACTTTTGCGGTCTTTGTTTTAAAAAAAAAATTCGTATCGAGTTCTTAGGTTTTCACGATTGTTGACATAGGAAATGAAACCATGTCCATGTGGTCACGGTGACCATGGGACTTGTAAAAAGGCCCGAAACGTTGGTTTGTTTGAAAAAACAAATATACGCGATTTAAATCCGGAAAAATAGTTTCATTTCTTAAAAAATTTACGATTAATATAATAATAATGATGATGATGATTGGAGCTTGGCGATAAAAATGACACAAAGAATTAAATTCTAACGGTTTATTTAAAAGCATTTTCATATCTTTAATGTTAAATCATTTGTTAGTGTGTACCCTAAACGTATTTTAATTTTTATTTGTAATGTAAAATAATTTTTATATTGCTGTTAATAATTTTTATATTATTTTACAGCGCTGGTGATTGCCGAGATATTATTAAATGAACGACATCCTAAATTTATATCTGCTTTCGATCCTTTTTTCTTAAAAATAAACTTCTTTTACTGACGACTGCGCAAGTCGTTTGATGTAAAAGTCAATGATTGATGTCAAAATCAAAAAAGTAACTCGTCATTTTTGTTTTGACACCTATTTTGGAGTATTTAATTATCCCAATTCCCTATCCCAATAAAACGTAGCTCTTTCCTTAATATATTAATTTTAGAGTTAGGATCAAGATCTGTCCCATTACATTTAAAATATTGTCCCATTAATCTATTGTTGAAACTATTTCAAAAATTTTTCCCCAATATTATCCTGGTACGACGAACTCTATGAATTCTTTGGTTGAATAAGTGTCTCTATAAGCACCCATTGTATTGACATAGGAAGCTGTTATAGTGCTATTAATGCGAAGGAAGCAATATATGATGACTTGTGACATGTTTAGACAGGCAAGGTCAGGGCATTCCATGCATTTGTTAGTAAAAACGTTGATGAGCTTTAAAACCTAAAAACAAAACACTGGTAATGAAAACACGGGAATCAATGCAAATTAAAATTTTTCTTTTCAAGTTTTCCGTATAATGTTTACACGCACTAAGTATTATGAACGTCAACGTCAACACACAAACGTCCCACTGTCGGGCGCGGGTCTCTGATAAGAAGAGGCTTTTTTGGGCCGGGGTACGTACGTAGGAGCGTACGAAAGGAGCCTCCCCGCACGACGTACCTTCGCACCCTGGGCAACATTTGGGCGAGTACCTTATCGGCTTGCAAATTCGTTCAATAAGACGGCAAACATTATAGTGTACGTACGCCATCGATACGATAAAAAGAAGAAAGGTCGGGGATTGCACACGCCTTCGTATAGTTATGTAAACCTTCTCCGGCTAACAGGTATCATCACGATATTTGCCTTCACCGTCAAAGCAAGTGCTAACTCGAAACTCAAATAATCTTTATTTCTGTATGCAAATTACACTTGAAATATTCGCATTGATTAAGATAAGTCAGGATGCCAGGCATGCTTGCTGCATTTTTGGCCATGGATTCAATGTATCTGCCGAAGTTCAAATTAGACGACAGGTCCATTCCAAGTAGCTGGAGACGATCGGCTATCGGTATGGATATATCACGAAAAGTCGGAGTCAGCTCAAAGGGACTCCGATTTGTGGAGAATAGACACGCCTGTGTTTTGGTAGCGTAAATTTGACAAGATTGGCATCGCCCCAATCGGACACTGCCTTCTTGAGCGTCAAATAAAAACGGCTAACCATGGACTCTCAATAAGACTGGATTTCCTCTCCACTGACCCTTGCATTGGTCAAGTATCTATCTACAACTGTGCTGTCATCAGTATACGCAAAGGTACCTGGAATTAATATATCATTGATATGCAGCAGCAAGAGAGTTGCAGACGACGAGTACGGAACCAGGAGGAACTCTCTTCGAAGGAAATCTATCGCCATGTGTTCGGAAGAGTAGCCTTCTAAGACTACTCGAATTGAACGTTCGCTCAAGAAATCCGAGATCCAATTAAATAAAAGATAAAAAGATAAAAGGCGATCAAATGAAAAAAACGATCACTGAGGAGGTTGTTGTCTTGAAGGTATGACGGACGGTTGTTGAATGCACGTTCCATAGTCTTGCAGCGTATGGCAGTGACGAAGATAGGTCTATAATTGACAAGGTCAGCTCTGCTTCCCTTTTTCGGCACAGGTTACACGTTTGTAAGCTTTCACAACCTGAGAACTACACCATTCTCAAGTGAGAGGCGGTACAGGCGTGTGAGAACAGGAGACAACTCAGGCGCACAGTTACGCAGGACTATTACTGGAATTCCATCTTGGCCGCTAGCTTTATTCACGTCTAGATTCCGCAGAGTCTAAGCGTTGAGCGCATCTCTAGAGACTCAGCACTATTCCATGACCATGACCATGGCAACCAATAATATGTATTTCAAAATTCTCAGTGGTGCGCACAGATTAAAACGATTGGCAATCTCAATGTTTTCTTATTCGTGTTTCAACCTAAAATAATCTTAACACTAAGTACCTATTTTTGGCGTATGCGAACTGGCACCTTAGTGCGGCCAGCCTGATGTAAGGTAGGTGGTAGGTTTTTTTAGGTGGGTGGTGGACTTTCGAGAACAGCCAGGTTATTTTTATTCCTCGTGTTTAATGTTATGTATACCACTATTTTTCAGTAAAAAATATTATTCTTCTTAATGTAAATTCAATTTTCATAAATGTACTGTGACGCTAGTGAAAGAATGTCAATTTCTTTAAATTTACCTCTAATGATACTCTTGGGCCCAGATCGTAGATTGCAGATTGCCCAAACCGCAAGTTTTTGTAGGTCAAAGATTTTATTAATATCGGTGGCATTATGTATATGCCATGAAACTGTGAAAGTATCTAAAGTTCACCAATCTCGTGGTTTCAACGTCTGAAAGTTTCGTATTTTTTAAATCGCATGCAGAGAGACTGCAGAGCTGCGCCATTTCGGTAACTTAGTTATTTGTGCACTCCATTGCAATTTAGCATCTAAAGTTATAATTAAAAACGCAACAAATTATACACACATCAAAAGTATCTAGGAACCAAGCACATTTTTACTAAATACCGAAAATCAGTTTTTTAATGATTTTTTTACACCAATGGAGTCAGCTTCATTTTCAAATACAAAATATAAAATAGACCATAAAAAGTACATCAGCGTTGAAAAAAATTAATTTAAAAAAACTGATTTTTAATAATTGGCAAAAACTTACTTGATCCAGCACTTTTGATGTCTATATAAAATTATTATTTCGTTTCTTTGCGACAGACAATAACCCTAATGTATGTGCCCGCCTAATTTAGTAAACTAAACTATGCATAATTCGAAAAGACAAACTTCCAGTGGAAATCGTACCTCTACTTCTAGCTATAATAACTTTAGCTTGTTGTTTTTGAGCATTACCCAGCGCGTTGCAATTAATTTATCTTTGTACATTGCATGTCAGAAATGGCTATTTAGCCAATCTAGTCATTTCACACATTTGTGTAATAGCATTGTGTAAAAATTACAATCAGATACTGTACTTTTAAACAGTCACGCGTCCTAGTGACCCATACTGTCTCTAAGGATTTGTTTATATTTTTATGCATATATTTTAAATGGTGGATAAAAACACAGCTTAGCGATAGTGACAACAACACTTGTGATTCTAGAACGCGTGATGAGTTAAATGATGAGTATTTTAAGTAGTAAGTCTAAAAATTATTTTAAAAAACTCGACACCAAAAAAATTTTGCTGGAATGATAAAAAATGTTCCCCCTCACTATTTTAATTATATTTATAGCCTATGACACTCCCACAATCAAGACGGATCTGACCACACCTCATATGTCAAAGTCCATCAAGTCGTTTAGGCTGTACATCGTGAAAAAGAAATGGACATGCATACATACACTTGAAAAACGTAACCCTCTAGCATGGATAATTAAATATGTACAATTTATTCCTAAGCAGAAACAAACTTACCATTTTCGTAAATAATCGTTGACTCAAGTTGTACGAAACTTAAAATTAATCTCACACTTAAGCATTCAGTCTTTTAATCACTGGTCACTAATTTATTCACAGCACTGTCTGATGCACTGTTCACTTCGTACGCCTCAGGTGTCTGTAAAAAATTTAAAAAAAGTTATAACAACTGCTTAGTGAAAGTGAACGTGGCTAAGCACGGCTGCAGGACTGCTGGCTGTTTGAATTGGCTTCAATTTTGACATCTCTTTCTACATTCAAAAATTATTTTGTGGGTTAATTTGTCTAGCTTATGTTAAACATAGGTACATTGAAGTCGATTGGAACGCGCTATTCATAGTGTTCTCTGTACTCTCAGATTTAGAAATCAATGTTTTTTTAATTTAATTTATTCTCAAAGGCAGATTCAAATTCGGCCTTTGAAAACTATATTTATTTTCATTGAATTTATCACATGAAATTGAATTTGACGTAATGTACCCCTAAAGCTATATCTGAAACATAAAACCTTTCTTGCAAAAAATTTCAATTGTGCTGTTCAAACAATAAAAATACGTCCCCAATGACTTTTTGACTTGGTAGCTTTTTTAAGATGTTATCTATAAGTTAAATCCATATTTGTTTCTAAATTTTGTTACTTCTATCTCGCTCTCAATATGTTTATAAACGCATTAACTAAACTAGTTAATAAATGTTTACAATAACAGATAAGCTATTAAACTTAAGGTAATCTCTTCTAGTGGTAACCTTGATAAGTATTGACACGATACAAAATACTCGCGATAATTGTAACAGCTTTCAATCAGACAAGGTCTCGATGGACAAGGTGCTTAAAATTCGGGTGCATATACGAGCATACCAACATAATATATACAAGTAGTTAGTTACCGTTTAAATATTCTAGAATATTAAAACAAAATAATTTGAAGCATAAATGTTGTATTTAATTTATTGTACATTTTGTTGTCCTTTTTTGATTACTCTAAACACGAGAGCATCGTTCATAGAAATAGATCGGATATTTTTGAACAAAGGTTTGTGAAAAAGATGTTTAGACTTTCGCCGTATAACTAATGACAATGACATCATTTAACAGGCTTAAATAAAAGGAGGAGGTTCTCAAATCGACTGTTTTTTCGTGTGCGTAAGTTACGCGATTACTCCGACATCTGTGAATCGGTTTCGATGACTATTTTTTTGTTGGAAAGGGGATACCTCAGTAGCGGTTCCATTCAAATTTGAAGAAAATATTTCATCACTAAAGGTGCCAAATTAGGGGATGAACCAGATTTATTGGAGTTCACTCACTTTCCGTTAACCGATTTAAATAAAACTTGGCAAATACTCGTATATGTAACTTTAGAGGTAGATTTTGTTATAAAATAATTGTATATTTTCTTTTCTGGTTGTCATGGTGACGGTGATTTGTTGGTTACATGTATTGTGTGAAGTGAAAAGTCGACTTTTATTTGCAGAAATTAATTAGTAATTTTTGATAGCCGAAACGAACCCGGAACACCATGAGGGACCACCTCGAGAGTACACCATTTCGAACAAGAGAAGATTTTCAAAATCGGTGCACAATTGATGGAGAAATTGGTGCATACACCGACATGTCTATAAAATTTGAGAATTTCCTTCGATTTTCATAGTATCCCCTCAAAAATTCTGTCGTGGTGACAATGGGACAACCACGAGAGTGCATCATTTCAAATAAAAAAAGAATTTTTTAAATCGGTCCACAATTGACGGAGATATCTGAAAACATACATAAAACATATATACAGCCGAACGTATAATCCTCCTTTTTTTTGAAGTCGGTTAAAAAAGTTATAATTCTTCCGATGTTTCAGAATAGTGACACGCTCCATGGTCTCAAGTTGGATGGCAAGTGACAGTTGACTGATTGAATGATAGACATATTTGCCTACTATCGCCTAAAATCCGATGCTTGATCCTAACCACGCCAATAATAAAAAGTAAAACATTTCTGACTTTAGTTTCACGTGCAGATTATTATGAGTGTGGTGTGTTGGGAAATTGATAATGACAATGGAAGCGCCGCAAGAAGTCGAGATGAGGGTAACCGTCGACAGTGATAAAGGGTAGACAGATATGTCAGTTCTTAAAGCTGTTTACTGTTTACCCGTTAACTCGTGACCATGAAATCTGTGAGTATTTATAAGTATAACTGTTCTGAAATGTCGGCACATAATAATAAAGTCTCAAGGAGCACTATTTATCCACAGTTCCATCATTTTATAGATATTATGATATGAAATATGTATCAAGGTATTTATACTTTCAACTGCCTCCGTGGCCGAACGGTTACCATGCCGGATTGCCACGCAGAGGTCCCAGGTTCGATTCCCGGGCCAGGCGAAATATTTGTATGACCTACATTTATTTCTCTCGTGAGTTTGGGTGTAATTTGTGGTTGTCTATGTGTGTGTCCATGGCACCCGCGACACAGGGTTTCCCTAGTGCGGGGCTATGTTGAGTGTGTGCGTTATTATACAGTCTGTAGTGATTTAATGTTTTTGCTATTGTTTTTGTTTTTAATTTAATTTTGTTTTATTATGCACATAAACCCGTAATTGTAATTATTGTGTCCTGTATTTTGGTCTGCAGGAAGAAATTTCTTTTAGAAATAAGCAGTGCCTTTTGGTTTGAGATTTTCATTTCACTAAATGTGATTTGTATTTTCCTGTGCAATAAATGATTAAATAATCTCAGTACAGATTACTAAAAAAACCGACGTCAAAAGTAGGTACGTGGAATTACATATAATCACCAAGTTTTATTGAAATCGGTTATCGGAAAATGCGCAAATCCGGATTCAGCCTCTAGTTCGCCACTATACGGGACTATACACAGGAGATAATAAAAATCGATTCTCGCTACTCAAAGTATATTGAGAGAAAAATGCCTTGAATTGGAGAATAGCAAAACCAACTATTAAAATAATTGCTCGTTTTAATAAAATTTAGGCGCTATTAATAAAAATGAACCTTCATACGTGAACAGCCACCCTTAGAGGTGAATGATTTACTTCAAAATTTAATGGGACCACTATGCAGGTACCCTCTTTCCAACACAAAAAGAATCACCAAAATCGGTTCACCAATACCGGAGTTATCGCGTAACATACATATAAAAAAATACAGTCGAATTGAGAACATCCTCCTTTTTTAAAGTCGGTTAATAAATAAGTTTTGCTATGGTAAGATATTTGTAACTAGTTTTAGTACTTATAATAGAAGTAGAGTTCCTTGTGAAAAGTTCGTTAAGTTCTGCCACTACTTATTTCTGCCGCTAAGAAGTAATATGAGCGCAACGCAAATTCCAGTTTTGAAGGGTAAGGGTGCTGGTGAAATTACAGACACATGAGACTTTCCAATTTATATTGATGGCAGGCGCAGTAGCTGTGCAGCGATCTTGGCAATTTGAAGCTCGAGTGTCACTATAACTGCTATGGATAGGCGTGTCGCCTAAAACCAGGTGCACGACTAGTTCGGCCCATTACTTAGTATCATAAAAAAAACTAGTGAGAATTGGTAACAAACTTTGATCCAATCTACTATTGACATACTTATTTTAATGAAAATCATACTGTTTTGCTACCATGACATTCGTATATTTTTTTACAAAGATCGAAACAACACGAAGAAATCCATCGATCTGGCTCGTCTCGAACCAGCGACCTCGTCAAACCGGGGCTACCGCTCTCCCAATATCGCTACGAATCGAGTCAGCAGACCTTACTAATTTCTCTATATGCTTGCTGCACATCTTTGCTACTTTGTATTTGGTTTTAACGCCTTTTTGCCGTAAAGCCGCCTGTGACAAAACCTACGAAAGTTTTTCTTCACTCGAATTAACTGCGTCTGTGGTCGAAGGGTACCATACTGGACTGCCACGCAGAGGTACCGGGTACGATACCCGGGCCAGGAGAAATATTTGTATGGCCTAAATTTATTTCTTTCGTAAGTTTGAGTATAATTGATATAATTTGTGGACGTCTATGTGTTCGTCCATGACAACCAGGATACGGGTTTCCCTAGTGCGGGGGACTATGAGTGTGTGCTTTACTCAAATATTTTTACAATTGCCAACTGTAAAGGTTCTGTTTACATAGTTTACTTTTTATGGAGAAATAGATTTTGTGTGGAAATTGTTTGATAGATTGTGCAATTTTCGTAAGCTGACTGACTGATATAGATAAAAAGCAGTTCGAGATCATTTTTTAAACCATCCATTGGACCAAAACGAAATGGCGCCTTACACAGCAAAATCTAACATTTCTGTAATACGATTTCAGTAAATTGCTTCAACATTGCAGATTTTTAAATACCATTTACTTATGGACATATTTTTTCCTCCTTAGTCAAGTTGTTTATCTTTATTAGTTCACAACATTTATGCAATTTGCTTTTTCAAGGTAAACTGTTCATAATTATATTTTCCATTTTGCAAAATATAAGAGTAATATTTCAAATGACACTGACCTAACCTTGTCAATAGAATTGATTTAAAAAAAAACGTGTTTAAACACATTTTTATAAAAATCTCTGAACAAGGACTAATTAATGTTATTTCATAATTATATATAATAAATACTCGTACATATATACGAAAGATTAGGTTGGCAATTGATTTGGTTTATTGATAACAGTAGCTGTATAATAAAAAAGAAGCAGTAGAAATCCTTATGAAGAAGAGATAACTAGTTAGTCCAAGTACTGCCACTATAACTGTTTCTGTCGCCAAGCAGTAATGCCGCTTCAGCTATTGAAAGGTAAGTAAGGGTGATGGTGAATTTACAGGTATATGGAACTTGTCAAGTTGATGAGTGCAGTGGCATTAGTAGTATTAGTCGCTTACGACCAGGCGCACGACTTGCTCGTTTCGTCTTTTATTTTATTTATTATTTTAGATAACTTGATTCATAATTTGTTAGTAATCCTGGTCCTGCGAAGCCTTAAAAATACATGTTGCAATTCAAAATAACATCAGACTAATAAAAAATTACTTTACGTTTACAGCAAAAACGTTTTTGATGTCTGAACCCCACGGGAAAACACATAAAAGTCACTGCACGTAGTTTTCTGAGCTCATCTATCCTCATATACCCACTTT